GGAAATGGAGAGGCCTCTCCCTTTTAGGAAGAATATTGTTAGTCAAAACTTTCGCGATCACAAAGCTTATATTCAGAGCATCGGTTATACCACTCTCTAAAGACCTAATTAAAGAGGCAAACTTAGTTCTCTACAACTTTATTTGGAATGGGAAAGACAAAGTGAAGCGTCTTGCATTGATATCTGATATAGAAATGGGCGGACTCAAAATGTTGGACATTCAATTTATGATTTGCGCTAAACGAGTAACATGTTTAAAGAAATTATTGGAGGATTACTCAAGTCCTTGGAAAACAATCCTAGACAAACTTCTGTTACCAGTCGGAGGACGTTTTGTATTGCACTGCAACTTTCAAACTTCTAAATTGAAAATCAGTCTACCAGCATATTATAAGGAACGCTTCGATGCGTGGTCGGAGGTTAATAGGAAGACTCCAAGTCGTTACGAAGAAATCATTAACGAAATTATCTGGAACAACAAATTTCTTTGTTATGACAAAAAATCGATGTACAGAAGAGATATAGTAAACTTAGGCTTCGTGAAGACTAAGGATTTAATTTCCGCGAACAACTCCTTCTCGTGGCGACTTCTATTTACTTACAAACCTCGAACAAAGATTTTTTCTTATGAGTATTATCAATTCGATTCCCGCAGAATGGCGCTCACTTATGAAAGCATCTACAAACGTAACATCAGCCAATCCCATACCGATGACCCCAACTATTAAGATGCCAAGCGGTAATGTAGTGCCAATCCACAATATCTCTCCTAAACAGATCTATCAAATCTTTCTGCAGCAAAAGCAAATTGCGCCCACAGCAAAACAGAAATTATCAAACATGTACTCAAATATAGATATTGATTGGGAAAAGGTTTACACTTTGGCCTTTCAATGCACTTTAGACACAAAGATCAGGGAATTTCATTACAAAATTTTAAATTGTATAATCTTTACAAACGTGAAACTTAATTTAATTGGTGTAGTGGAATCGCCAAACTGCACTTTCTGTCAAGAAGCAGCGGAAGCCGTCGAGCATTTAATCTTCTCCTGCAGGATATCTTCTGATTTTTGGAAGCATGTCCTGTCCTGGCTAAGAGATAATGATGTTCATGTTGAGACAATTAAGGAGTCTGATGTGATATTTGGAAAATTTGATATTGTAGAAGACTATATTCTAATCAATCATATTTTGTTATTAGCTAAATATTATATCTACTGTAGGAAATGTCATAATAGCGTACCTTCAATTAGAGGTTTTATTGCTAGGGCAAGACGTGTCTTCAATATTGAACTCCATATCGCCAGGGAGAAAAGTAAACTTCTTTTTCATTTTCAAAAGTGGGAGAAGCTAACTAATGCACTTAATAGTTGATGCACAGAGGTTCGTAAAAATTAGAAGGCATCTTTACTGTTATCATCGTTGTTGTAATGTATACATGTATTTTTCGTTGTTATGGTTATCCTTTTTCTTCTTTCTTTTAGGTTAGTATTTATTTAAGTAAAATTGTATAATTTAATTTATTTAATTAAGGTTTATTCTCAAATAACATTGTAAAACTTGTCTTTAATTCAATAAAAACTGTTTAAAAAAAAGTCATAACGTTAGAAGCACCTGGGCTGAATTTTATATAAGCGAGCACGACGATGATAGCTTTCGAAAGAATGTTCACATCACCTCATGGTTCCGCAGCAGTCAGGGTAATTCAATGGCTGAAATGTCAGCTTCTCTCATTGCTTCATTGATAATACTTCGTAATTACGATGCAACTAATACCACGTTCTTTTCTTTGTGTTTCTGTTTCACTGCGCGAACAACTGGTAAATTAAACTTTTCCTAAAACCCGTGCGGGAAGAACCGCCACAACATCCTTTTAACCTAGTAAACCCAAAACAGCCTGTTGCTGCTCTTCTTTGACCACGTTTTCGCATGAAAACTGTGCCAAACACACTTTCCATAGTCTATACTCCAAAACAAAAGATATGCTCAACACAAGCTTGTAGTATGACTGCATCCCAAGTCGCAGTCGATGTTATTTTTTTATGCAAATGCAATAGTAAGTGTCGCGGTTAGCGGGTCCAGGCGATAACAACACTTCTAGTCGCATGACGCTAGCGTGATGAGTGATGATGATGACAGGATATCGCCGTTCAGCTAATGGTAATTTGCTTTTCCTGGGAAAAGCAAGTTTCAGTTGCTCCCAAAGATATCTACAGACCGTCTATTTTCTTCTTCCCCCACCCCTACCCCTTTTCGCTGGCGGTCAATAAATCTCCCGCGGTTTCTTTTTTATCACGCGTGCTCGACGGTCTTTGAAGAGAAAATAGAGGATCTGTGAACAGACTATATAATGCAACTACTCACCAACGCTTCTCTTTTATTCTCTTGTGGATAGGAGGTAAAACCAAAGACTTAGTGTAGCAGGAAACTATAAAGGGGAAGAAGTTAAGAGTTATTTCCCTGTCACTTTTTAAATTTTGCACAGACAATTGTGAAGAGGGAGGGGGGTGGGGAAGACCCTCTAGTCTCAAACACTGCTCGTTCCTAACTAAAGGCTACCTGGATGTAAGTACCTGGGGAGTTTCTTTGTTCTTTTACATCTTAATTTTCCTAGCTCTGTTATATTTACTTGTTTGAGTTTGTTTGTTTGAAGTTACTCATGATGGTGTCGTCAAGATGACAGATTTTTCCTCAATACACCAAGGATGAGCCATTTTGTGGGTTTAGGAAAGATTCTGTGTACAGCTCCATGTCGGTCCGTAAGTAGTAGAATACTTGGGGGTACCAGCACAGTTTTGTCTTTGGTCTTTCCAGGAATTTTAGTTAAGGATTTTTCTTGGAATTTTTGGTTGGCGCCTTATACTGGACACAATTTTCAAAACCGATTTTGGGTGTGGCAAAACGGTTTTGGATTTAGAACTTAGTTTGTAATTTCCAGGAATTTGACTGGGGGATTTTTCCTGGAAGGAAGACTATTTAAAGACATGTCGCTTTACTCTAGTATGCCGATGAGCGCAGCGAGATAAGAGAAAAAATAATGCCAATCAGCAAGAAGCAAAAAAATGGCCCTATTGCTGATTCTGATAAAAAAAATAATATATAGTAATTATAATATGGACCCGCTAAAGTTTGATATTGATGTCTGATACCCATTTTCAGTTGCAGTCCAACTTATGGATACAAGAACAAAGATTAAAGATTTTGTTGCTAAAACTAAGACACGTGGACGGTGGTTATATGGACATATTGGAAACAATGATTACTAATTCTAAAAAGGGCGATAAATTGGTTAAACAAAGATTAACACCTGATACAGCCATATTAAAGAATAAAGGATTGATAAAAGATGCGGTTGATGATATGGTAACTGACATGCTTGAGATTGTTTCTTATGCTGCTTCCACAGAAAATGGTCTGGAGTTTGATTCTATTGATTCACATTATGTTGTGGTTAAAAAATGGACAAAAGAATAATTTTAATCTAATATATAAATATGGTGCGAATAATAATCCCAACTTCAAAGACTGAAGATGCAATTCAAAAAGAAAAACTTATCTCAGAGCTATTGTACAGGGCTCATGATAGTATAATCAAAGAACTAATAAGTTATAACAATGATTTGCTTGCATTGGATGATGTATTAAGGGAGCTTGATAAGGACAAAAAATGAGTTATATTATATAGGCTCATAATAGAACCATAATAATATTACAAAAAACAGGTATTGCAATTACTCAATGCGATGGATCCACTTCAAATGCGTTTTATAAGTGTCATTTGAAAGGAGCGCTTTTTCACAATATTTCCATGGGACTCTAACGTCTTCCATGTAATCATTTATGTATTTGGTAATAAGGTCGTAGTCATTGCTGATCATAAAGTAGTAACCATTATCTTTTTACCTGTTTTCATCTCTTTTTGGGCCTCAGAAATTTGGTAATTATTTGTAGGGCTCTTAAATTCAAGACAAAAATCCAGAATGGTTATTACGGCCACAATAATAGCCTTAGAATAGAATCTACGGATGTATTGCACTACTTTGCAGTGAAGATCAGTCTCATTTTCTATCTTAAACATTTTGTTATTTGGATTGTCAAATAGTTTGTACTGTCCATGTTTTCTGATGGATGGGAGTACTTTTGTAAATACCTAATCTCGGAATTTTTTTGCTGCTGGTAGTTTTGAACTAAATACAAATTCATAAAATCCAGACTCATTAATGAAAATGGTCTCAGACCAACCCGTGGTTTCGACGGGGTGCCTGAGAAGCTGTTTTTTTCTTATAGTCTTCTAATACATGCTTTCTTAAGGCCTGGTCTTTGTCACTATACCCAAGGATTTGGGCAATGTCTTTTCCTTTGAACCAAATACTTTGCCTGGCATCCACATATGAGATAAGTTCAATATTCAATTCATTATTCACAAATTTCTTTTCTATCATCATTACAATAGTGTTACATAATATCTCTTCAAATAGGTTTGGTTCCAACAAGCAGATCACTTCTAGATCACTTCAAAGATCACTTCTAGGACGCCGGTTAATAACATCTCTGCTGTTTCCAGTTTTTTGGAGATCAATTTTTTGTGATTCAATACCGTATGGCAATCTCTTCTTTCAGTTTTTGGATTTTAGTGTATAGTGCATAAAGTTCAGTTTCGTTTTTCGTGGATCTTGGTGTCCAGCTTTCTCATATACTCATCCATTTATATGGAGCGGGGGGGGGGCCTGGTAACGACCAAAATGAAGGCAACATTTCGACTTCTCCCGAACCTTTTGATTTTTGTGATCTACATCTAGTTTCTGGCGTCCACTGATGTGCAGTTACCTGGCGAATCAACTGATCCATCTATTGGCTTAAGGATTTCAGCGTCTCTTATCGATATAAGTTTATATAGAGCTAACTTATTTCAAGTGTTATGCTCAGATCGATCGGCCATCTTTACTCGGATTACTTCATCTGTTCAGTCGAAGCATGGCGTGGATAACTTGAACCTTCTCATGCATTGTGGTGACATTCTTCGCAACCCAGGACCCGAATGGAAGTATCCCTGCGGTGTGTGTCAAAAACCAGTCAAGAATAATCAGAAAGGTCTCCAATGTGACTCCTGTGATCTCTGGTACCACACAAATTGTTGTCGTGTAAATGACATTGTGTATAATGCACTAGCTAATAGCTCATGTTCGTGGATTTGTTGTGGATGTGGACTCCCCAATTTCTCCAGCTCGCTTTTTGACATATTTGATATATTCATGCAGAATTATTACCACTCATTGCCATCATCACCAACATCATCATCAATGTCACCCACGTGTGATAATGGAGCCGACCTAAGACCAAATGATGTCATCGGTCCTCCAAGACACTCGTCAAGCCCATCTCGTTCTGCCACAAAGAGGAAGAACTTAAGGGTGCTCACGGTCAACTGCCAAAGTCTTCGTTGTCATAGTAAGCATCTTGACATTGCAATGCTAGTGCAAAAATATAATCCCGATGTAATTAATGCAACAGAAACTCATCTTAATTCGGACTTTACAAACTCGGAACTTGGCCTAAGGGGATATGATGTAATAAGATGTGATAGAGTTGGTGGCATGGGACCTGGGGGAGGAGTGTTAGTAGCCACACGGGAAGACCTACTAGTTTCACCAACATCCTCATTACATACTGATGGTCTTGAAGCAGTGTTTGGCAAGATAAATATATCTGGATCCAAAACCCTTCATGTTGGATGTGTTAATAGACAACCCAACAACAACCCTGAACCAATCAACACATTGACCGAATCACTAATTTCAACCACTCCAGGGGGCAGTATTTTGAATATGCTAATAACTGGTGACTTTAACTTTCCGGATATCGACTGGGATATTGAAGACGGCGAACACAAATACTTCGTAAAGTCATCACCTCAATACGGATATGAAGCAAATGAAGCAATGTTAGACCTTATCAATCAGCCTCCTTTAGCCAGTTTACAGATAAACCGACAAGAGGAAATAATGTCCTGGATCTTGTTCTATCAACTATTCCTGACTCTGTAAGCTAAACTCAAGTTGTCGAGGGCATAAATGATCACAGCGTTGTTATAACTGATCTGAACTTAAAAGTGAAACCTACAAGGAAATTGAAAAGAAAAATCTATATTTATAAGAAAGCGGACAGTGAATCATTAAAGGATGAAATTACCTCAGCATGGGAAAAGTTTCAAACCAGTCAACCCCATGACAGATCTGTTGAACAAAACTATTGCCACTTTACAAGCATAATTCTAACGGCTATCAAGAACCATGTCCCCACCAAAACAATCAGCGGCAGGTGGAACCTACCTTGGATCACCCCAGGGTTAAGGAGACTGATGAGGAGAAAAAAAAGAGTTTATAACCTCGCTAAACGGACACAAAATCCGCAACATTGGAAGAGATTTAAGAAGCTACGGAAAACCTGGAAACGGAGCCTACTGGTAGCACATAACAACTATGTACTAGGTCTTCTTGACTGGTCAGACAAGAAGAATTCACCATCCATTGGCAAGAAATTTTGGACCTAAATCAAGTCCAAAAGAAAAGACAATGTGGGCATTAGTTCTTTAAATTCTGGAAATACTGAAATACACCCACTGTAACTGATAACAAAGCTAAAGCAGAAATCTTAAGCAACCAATTCAAGGCGGTCTTCACAGACGAGGATGTAGACACGATCCCAGATATGGACAGCAATGGTGTTTCAGATATAGACCCACTTGAATTTCAGACCAAGGGCAAAGTGTCCCTGCTCAGGAATATCAACACAAAGAAAGCCAGTGGTCCCGATGGCATTTCTTGCTGGGTGCTGAAAGAAGCTGCAGAAGAAATTGCCCCATTTCTGCAATTTATATTCAATCAATCACTAACAACAGGTCAAGTCCCAGGTGACTGGAAATGTGCCAATGTGACCCAGTGTTTAAAAAAGGCAGTAAGAAAGAAGTGTGCAACTACAGACCAGTATCTCTTACTCCTGTGCCCTGTAAGATCTTGGAGCACATTATCTTCCATCATATTATAGGTCACTTGGATGCGTATCATGTACTTGTCAACTACCAGCATGGATTTCGCCGGGGCCACCCAAGTGAAAGCCAGCTAATTACAATAGTCGAACACCTAGTCAGAAACTCAGACCATGGCAAACAGACTGATGTATTATTGCTGGACTTCTCCAGGGCATTTGATATGGTCCCGCACAAACGTCTCCTCAAGAAATTAGATCACTACGGAATCCATGGACCACTGATCAAATGAATAGAATCCTGGCGTTGCGGAAGAACTCAGACAGTTGTTGTTAATGGTTCACAGTCTTCTCCAGTGACTGAAACTTCAGGAGATCCTCAGGGCACCGTCCTGGGCCCACTGATGTTCTAACTCTACATTAATGACATTGGTCTCCAAATACCCTCAGAATTGGGTCTGTTTGCAGATGACAGTGTCCTATATCGGGTTGTTAACAATATTAGCAGTGCCGAGGTGCTTCAAAGTGACCTCAACAAATTAGTAGTCTGGTCAGAGAAATGGCAGATGGCTTTCAATGCCACCAAGTGTTTTCTGCTTAGAGTCACTCGCTCAGAGATAATGTGGTTAACTACACCTATGCCATGATGGGACAGCCCATAACATCAGTCACACAGCACAAGTATCTGGGTGTAGAATTAGATAGCAAATTAACATGGAATGAACATATTTCTGCTTTTACAGGGAGAGCAAACTCTTCCCTCGGCTTCTTGAGAAGAAATCTATATAACTGCCCAGAACAGATCAAGACGCAGGCGTATTATTCTTTAGTTAGACCCCACTTGGAGTATGCATGGTCAGTGTGTGACCCACATACACAAAAGAACATTCAATCAATTGCGAAAGTCCAAAGCAGAGCGGCTAGTTTTGTTAAGAAGTGCAATCAGCACACACTGAGCACCATCACAAGTTTACTAGAGGAGCTAAAATGGCCATCATTGGAACAGAGAAGGAAACAAACAAGATTAATAAACTTGTATAAGATCGTAAAAGGCACCCTGGCAGTAGAAATTCCAAATTACTTCAGGCAGAAGGAACGCCAAAAAAGAAATTACCACCCACTTAAATTTATAAATGCTGGTTACAGGACTAATGTATATATATATAGCTTTTTTCCCAGATGCATTAAAGAATGGAACGATCTTCCTGAAACAATTATTGAAGCTACCAACATAGAGGCCTTCAAGCTTGCCTTGAGGGCCCAGGCCAGGCCCCATTGAGCATTTGAACATCTTTTAACTTTTTTTATTTTTATATCACCAGCACAAATTCACTGCACTGTTTTTTAGCGCACATAGCACGAGCACAGCACATATCTGCTGAAGATGGGCTGTACTGCCCTTTGCAGATCAGACATTTAGATTTGGATAAATCTTGTAACCTGCTCAGTGGAACCCAAGAATTGAAGTCGTCATTGTATCCTTTCCAAGATACTAGAGCTTGTTTCTTCTTATAATCTCTCTGAATGATTTTATCAATGCGGAATATATCTTGTTTTGCCTTCAGTAATTCGGGTTTGTAAAAGCTCCCTTGTATTTTCTCATTTTTGAGATCCTTCAACCTGTAGGTGATTGGGTTTGTGGATTGGATTTTATCGACTAGGAATAATTATCTCCTCAGTCCAATTAGGTGTGTAACTTTTGCTGAATATTTTTTTTTTGTATTTACTTATCCTGACTTTATCGCCAATCTTGAACCTGGATTTAGATGGCATATTGATTGAAATACAAAGTGCTTTCATTCTTCTTCTTCCTGGCTTCTACAGGTGTCATTTTCATGAAACTATGCTTAGTGTTATTGTGCTGCTTCAGTATTTTTGGTAGTATGTCTATAGATATACTGTATTACCCTGGAAAGTAAACTGCTTCCACAACTTGGTTTTAACCCCCATTCCATTTGCTGAATTGCTGCGTTTCAACCAGATCAAAGCACCAAATTCTATTGACACCATTTCCAATAATGCGCCGCCGAGTAAAGTTGCACTTTATCAGTTTATGCAATTCATTTGCTACTTGCTGTTGCCAGTTTTCTCCACTCGATGGCTTTTTCAGTTTTTTGAAACACCAAGTCTGAGTTTCTGTTTTTTATCAATTAGGAATCTAGCTATCTTACCCCAGTTAGGCATTTCTCCATAAGGAATCATGTACTACTTACATGTAGGGCGCAGGGGACGGTTTGCAAGATGGCCTGTACTGGTAACAGCTAAAGTCTCCTTCACAGTCGTTCTTTGAGTCATCACACAATGCTCAAAGAACGGCCGTGAAGCAGACTTCATCTTAAAGTGCTCAATCCAGATCAAAGATGACAGCCTAAGGCCTGTTTCAAATGCGTGCTACTGCCTTGCTAAGCTGGCTTGACTGTAGCTCAACTGCAGCATGACACTGTACTAGCACGACTTGGTTTCAGATGTTGAATTAAATTCAGTCAAATAGAACAGATGTTGACGAAAACAAAACACTCAAATAAAGAAACAGTTTAGCAAACTTTTAAATGTATCGTAATGTATTTATAATTTATGAATTGAGTTCGGAACGGCAGTAGCACGACGTTTGAAATGGGCCTAATAGACCTTTTGACAGGTTATGATGCCATCTTGGCTGGGGGGCAAACACGACCAAAAATTACAGTGAATGTATGTGATTTTGGCCCACTTGGAACTGCTTTAACGCCCCTACAAAGAGGCGGATTTCCACAGCAAAAATGTATTTTAAAAGACATTTATACTGAGACCATTTTCATAAAGTATAAAGACGAGATTCAGGTTATAACGACCGTAAACGAATCATTCAACATTATGCAAATTACCATGAAATTAGAAGCCACATGAGAAGATTTATAATTCGAATTTACGGACGTCGTACCTTCTTTAATAGCCTTATTTTCTGTTGAATGAATGATATCAATAAAACTATTTAAAGTAATGGCAAATGTTGGAAATCCGCCTCTTTTTACCGGCGTTAAAGCGGTTCTAAGTGGACCAAAAAACCCATACATTCACTTTAATAATTATTAGCCGTGTTTGCCCCCCAGCCAAGATGGGTCATAAACCGTGAAAAGGTCCATTAAACCGGCCGGAGACACTTCCACGAAAGTTTTCTGGAGATAAAGAACCTTATGCATCCCTAGGGTAAAGGAACCTTCGCAGTTTTAGTGTAACTTCAGCTAATGCAATGCCTACCTCGGTTTTGATTCCCTTGTGTCCTGATAATTCGCTTGGTTTGCCACGACGAAATAGCGGTTACTACTTCATGTAACCGACCGAAATAGTCTACAAGGCAATCATATTTTTCTAAGCCATACGTTTATTACGTGCCGGAGTGGAGCGGGGGGGAGAGAGAAAAGTGTGGTGTGTATCTATCTAAGTGATCTACCCGAATTTCTAAATTCATCAAGCTCAACCGATATTCTGCTTGATGACTCTGAAAGACCTATAAACTGTTTATTATATGCGGATGACTTAGTGATCTTTTCGCGGTCAGCAAATGGCCTACAAACACTCCTCAACAAGTTGGAATCCCACTGTGAGAAAACTGAACTAGCTGTAAATCTAGACAAAACAAAAGTCATGATCTTTAATAATTGTGGCAAGTCCTTAAATAACTACTCGTTTAAGTATGGAGTAAATAAACTAAACAATGTTAAATCTTATGAATATCTGGGAATGACACTGAACCCGTATGGAAATTTTAGTTTAGCTAGAGAAGAGTTAA